GGAGGTATCAAATTTCAAATCACAGTGAAAATGTCGCCGATAAGCAGGCAGGGAATGGGGTCACTGAGCACGCGTTCAGCCTTACTTCGAGGTAAACAAGAGGTTGTCACGCATACAGAGACCATTGGCGCATCAATCGATACCAGTTTTCAGCAGATAACGGAATACCTAGAACGCTACACACACTTGGGGTCTGGGTAGACTGTAGATAAAATCGATAATGTCTATCTAGACATAGCTAACTACGTGCCGTTCAGAGGCGGGTCATACCTAGACTTGCCCCCCTACTATAGGAAAAAACATGCCATGGTCAATGTCAAGAATAGAGGAGACGATTGCCTGAGGGTAGCTATCAGGTCAGCCTTGTTTCCAGCTGACACTCATTCAGACAGGCTTTCTAGCTATCCCCAAGACGATGGGCTCAACTGGGATGGTATAGATGAACCAACCCCCATATCCCAGATAACTAAAATAGAAAAACAGAATAATCTAGCTATAAATGTCTTTGGGCACGAAGGTAACACAACAATAGTGCACAGAGTAAGCTCAGTGTTGGGGGAACCCCAAGGGGGAAACCCCCCTCGTGTTATCAATATATTCATGATCCAGCGAGGTGACAAGTACCACTACGCTTGGATAAAACACTTTAGCCGGCTGTTGTATGACCAATCGGCACCCAGAGAAAAGACCCACTTCTGGGAACGGTGCCTACATGGCTTCACACGAGCTGATTTATTAGAATCCCACCGGGAGGATTGCCAAGGTGTGGGGCAGACGGCTATACGAGTCGACATGCCTAAGGAAGGTGACAATATCCTAAAATTCGGTAACCACAAGAACCAAATGTCTGTGCCTTATATCATATACGCCGACTTTGAAGCCTTGGTTAAACCTGTTGAGGCTGCCGCCGGCGGGGTTGTTGGGGGTACTCCCAATGCTCTACCCACAGGTGAGAGCTTCACACTCAAAACACAGGAGCATGAAGCCTGTGGGTTTGGATACATTGTCGTCCGTTGTGATGGGGAAACGAAAGCTCCCGTAGTGTATAGGGGCCCTGACGCGGCTGAAAGGTTTCTAAAGTGTTTGCAGGAGGAAGAAAAAATTATTAGGAACGCACTGTATAGAGTCGCTCCCATGCGTATGACCCAAGCCGACAGGCTAGCTCACGCCTGTAGCACTAATTGTGACTCACCACTTAACGGTGATTCGGTAAGAGATCACTGTCACATAACCGGTAAGTATAGAGGCGCCGCTCACAGCGCGTGTAACCTCAAGCTTAGAATCCCCCCTAAGACAATAAACACCCCCGTTGTCTTTCACAACTTGAGAGGGTACGACTCTCACTTAATCATGCAGGCCATCGCGAAAATCGATGGCAATATAACGTGTATCCCCAACAACATGGAGAGATACATCTCCTTCAGTTTAAACGGCCTTAGGTTCATAGATTCAGTACAATTTTTATTGTCGTCATTAGACAGTCTGGTCAAGGCCAACGATACCTTCCCTATTACCGATCGATACACAGACGCCGAGACTAGACCCCTGCTGATGAGGAAGGGTGTGTACCCCTATGAGTACATGGATAGTTGGCCCAAGTTCGCGAGACCAGACTACCCCCATCAGAGAATTTTACAGCAATCTGACTGACTCAGAAATATCCCAAGGCGATTACTGCATGCGCTATTAATGTATGGAATAAACTGGGTTGTAAGAACCTGGGTGACTATCACGACCTGTACTTGAGGACAGATGTACTGCTGTTAGCCCGGCGTGTTTGAGGCGTTTAGGAGGACATGTTTCAAGCAGTATAAACTTCGACCCGCATGGTATTACACCAGCCCAGGTCTGTCGTGGGATGCCTTGTTGAAAAAGACTGGAGTTAAGTTGGAATTTCTTACAGATTATGACATGCACCTATTCATTGAGAAAGGCTTGCGAGGCGGGATCTCCATGGCAACCAAGCGATCATCGAAAGCAAATAATCAATACGTGAAGGGTTACACGACCCTAGCAAGCCAACCAATCACATTCTCTACCTCGGCGCCAACAACCTGTACGGCTGGGCTATGAGCCAGTATCTACCCACAGGGGATTGAATGGGTGCCACAGGAGGTCGATGTTATGAGCATCGCACCAGATTGAATAAAGGTTATATCCTCGAAGTTGACTTGGAATACCCCAAGGCATTACACACATCACACAACAGCTACCCCTGGCCCCGAGCGTATGAGGGTTAACCCAGACTGGATGTCTGAGTACCAACATAACTTGTTAGGTGGGCGGGTGGCAGACGTTGAAAAACTCGTGCCTAACTTAATGAATAAGACTAAGTACATCGTTCACTATCGCAACCTACAGCTGTACCTGTCGTTGGGTATGAGGCTGACCAAAATACACAGGGTGCTCGTGTTCAACCAGAGCCCATGGATGGAGCCTTACATCAGAATGAACACAGACCTCCGAAAGCTTGCCACCAGTGACTTTGAGAAAAATCTCTACAAGCTCATGAACAACTCGGTGTTTGGTAAGACTATGGAGAACCTTAGGAAGCGCCGTGACCGTGAAGCTGGTTCGGTCGAATGAGGAAGACAAGCTCAGGAGACTGATAGCCAGTCCGGCATTCACCCGTAGTAAAATATTCACCGATGACCTAGTTGCCCTACACATGAAGAAAAGCCACATAAAATTCAACCGGCCTGTTTACGTGGGGATGAGCATCCTCGATTTATCCAAACACCTGATGTACGACTTTTACTACAACGAGCTTAAGAAACAGTACAACGACAGGTGTGAAGTGCTGTACACTGACACGGATTCCCTGCTGATGGAGATTCGAACCGAGGGCGTGTGCGAGGACATGAAAAACACCTCGATTTATGCGACACCAGCGACTACCCCAAGGACCATGCCATACACAGTACGGTAAATAAAAGGTCCTAGGTAAGATTAAGGACGAGTGTGCGGCATGCGCCCATAGCCGAAACATAGGTTTGAGGCCTAAGATGTACTCCATACTGAAAGCTGACAATGGTGAGATCCGGAAGGCTAAGGGTGTTAAGAAGCGTGGTTAAACAACACATCAAACCGCCAGATTCAAGGAAGCCCTGTTCAAGACCCGTACCTTTAGACATAAAATGAACACACTTAGAAGTGATGGGCATAAGATATCTGGGACTGACAATAAACAAGGCGTCCCTGTAAGCCTATGGACACTAAACGTTGGATAGCTATTGATGGGATAAACACGTGCACGCGTCACGGGCATGAGAAAATTGAACCAAGAACATAGGTGTATGTAGGCGACATGTCACGGAACCAGAGAAAGTTTGAGGCTATTTACTATAGCCCGTGGGTACTGGAAAGGAGCTAAGCTGTAGATAAGCTGGCTAAAATGGCGCCAGTACCCCAGAGGAAGCCAAAGCGTGGCTTGAAAAACAAGCCCTGTGGCAGATCTATTTACCGGCACCACGCTCACGTTACCTAGAAGGAGGTTCGGTATTAACATACCTAATAGCGTTCACCAGGCAGACCTACTGTTCCTACCCCACGACAAGAGGTACAAGTATGCCTTAACCGTAGTGGACGTAGCCAGTCGCTACAAGGAAGCCGAGCCCTTGACCACGAAAGATTCTGCCCAGGTAGCTAGAGGATTCGAGCGCATATACAAACGCAGTCCGCTAACATGGCCAACAGAGCTGCAAGTTGACCCCAGGCGGGAGTTCATGGGCGCCGTGTCACAACTGCTAGCCAAACACGATACAAAGGTCAGGCGTGGCACGGCCGGAGCCCATCGCAGCCAAGCCATAGTTGAGAGATTCAATAGGACTTTGGCTGAGCGCTTATTCGGACATCAGTATGCTAGGGAAAAGATCGACTGAATGGGTCGTGAGGTTACCCAAGGTGGTGTCGGCAATCAACCATGAAGTCACCCGTCTCACCGGCAAGAAACCGGCAGACGCTATCAAACTAAAATCAATAGTTGCAGAGTCGGCTGCTCCATTGCGTGGAAAAGAGAAACAGATACCAGATAGGGCCCTAGTTAGGTATCTATACCAGCCGGGGGAACACGAGGGTGATAGCCGTAAGCGAGCCACCGATCCTATATGGTCAGTCAAAACTTACAACATAGATAAAGTGGACATGAAAGCCAACGAGCCTAACTTGTACTACTTGAGGGATGGGCCAGGTAGGGGGTTTGTAAGAGCGGAATTATTGACCGTACCGTACGGCACAGTGTTACCTCCAGTCAACACGACATAGCGGCACGTGGAGCGATGATGCAATGATGCAATCCCAGGATAGACCCGTTAAACCGACATGCTTCAACCATGTCCCCGGTAGCTCAGTCGGTTAAGTGGTGCGGCTGTGAGGTGTAACATTGGGCGTTCGTATCCCGCTAGCGTCCCAAACTTTTTTATAGTAGGGGTAATGGTAGCAAGAGCTAAGGGTCCGACCAAAGCCTTATCTGTGAAATAAGGCTTTGCAGAGGCTTTTGTTGGAACTGGTCCAAAACCCCCATTGTATATACTACTGCGTGCGTAAGTACGTACATCACAATTCTTGTTAACATGATATTTCATGAACTGTTGTACCCAATGTCTTCAAATTTGGTGACGGCCTACATTGGGGGATTACGCAGACACCACTCGATTTTGGTGACCTTGACCTTATTTTCAAGGTCACCACGACACTTTGACCACTTTTCAAACTTTTGTAAACGCTCTATCTCATAAAACATTGCACCAAATGTCTTCAGTTATGCCGACAGACTACATTAGGTGATTATGCAGACACCAGTCATTTCAGGCATCTTGTATTTGACCAAAATATAAAAAGTAGTAAATATGTTAATTCTAAAATATTTAAATGTTTAATTCCTCTTTAGCAGCGGGGGACATTGTTATACTAGTGGCAAACACTTGTTTGTCCTGTATGTACCTGAACATTTATCATGTTTCTGAATATATTTTGTATCAACAAACATGTTTTGTTGATAGACTGGCAAGCTGGAGTGGACATTTAAAGAACATGGTGGTATTGTAACAAGCGTTTGGGTTGAAGGAAACACTCTTTATTCAGCTGGTTTTGACAGACTGGTCAGGTGCTTTGATATTAAGGTGCGTGCAGGTTTTTCATCTTCTCAATTCAGACATGCCTTTAACCAAATTGTCAAGAGATGTCCATGTCATGTCATTGACAATGTAATCTTTGGTGTAACTGTAATTTTATGTTGACTTTGGTCATCTCAAGCAGCATATGGAGGTGAAGAAATTTGATATACCACATCCTATCCGGGAAATTGTTAACATTTCCTTCCTGATATTGTGATATTTGTTGAACAAAGCTATGTTACGATCTGCTGTTTTTTTTAATGCATATTTTATATCAATAAATCTTTTAACACCTACCTGTAGTTCATTTGTGTGGCAATGGATGTTTTCAGAGCCATACTTTGAAAAAGATGTACTATGGAGCTGGCAAGGGTGTGATCATGAGCATTGAAGTACATGGTGATGAGGTGAGTATTGTAATTTTGGTTTTTAAACTCAAACATATTGATAGTCCTCTGTAGTTTTTTTATCCCCCCGGCATGTAATCATTTTGTTTCCAGAGCATAACTCGAAAACCGTTTATTAATGTTCAACAAAACTTGGTAGATATATCAAACAGATCCTTAAGTGGTGCCTCTTGCTATTTGCAGATTTTTGGCATTTTTATTATTCCCGATTTCCATGGAAACAATTCGGACTTAGTCCGAAAAGGGAGGGGTGGGCTTCGTTTCTTGATAAATCCTTCCTTAAGGTAATAAGAACAAATTTCTTAGAAAACTAGTCAAATTGTGTGTACATATACTGACCCACAAAAGAAACATCACTTTTCAAAACCAAATGCAAAATTTTGTTCTTACAAAATGGTGTTTTTATTAGGGCTCCTTGCCTCCGGAGCACAACTCGAAAACTTCTTAATATCTTTCAGTAAAACTTGGCAGATATGTGAGGCAGATGCCAAAGTGGTGCCTTTTGCTACTTGGCAGAATTTTGGCATATTTATTTTTCCTGGTTTTCATGGAAACGATTTGGATTTGGTCCCAATAGAGAGGGGTGGGCTTCGTTTCCGGAGCACAACTGGAAAACTTCTTAATATCTTTCAGCAAAACTTGGCAGATATATGAGACAGATCTTGAAGTGGTGCCTTTTGCTATTTACAGATTTTTGTCATTTATATTTTTCTTGGTTTCCATGGAAACAGTTAGGACTTAGTCTCAAAAGGGAGGGATGGGCTTCATTTCCGGTGCACAAGTCGAAAAGCTTTCAGTATCTTTCAACAGAGCTTGGCAGATATATTAGGCAAATTTTGAAATGGTGCCTTTTGCTATTTACAGATTTTTGGCATTTATATTTCTCGTGATTTCCATGGAAACGATTTGGACTTAGTTTTGAAAAAAGCTGGACTTTAAGTAACTGTCAGTTGATTTGTTCTTTCAAATTAATGGGGCCCGGGGGGATTTGTCATCTTCCAATAACTCTTGTTTATATATATTTTGCCTCTTGTTCAGATAGTTATTTTGAATTTCATACTGTAGTTTGAATTGTAATTCAAGTGTGATTTTTCAGCTTTGAATCTTGAGTCCAATGTCCACAAATGCAAGGCTCTGTGCTTTCTTTTCTTCAGAATTTAAGTCTTTATTCATTAGTTAAATACCTGAAGCAACATATTTGGAAACATAAGAAATATTCTACTTTCAGCTGTACACTGGCAGCCGTGAGGGCCATGTTGAGTGCATTCAGATGAAGTCAGAAAGCTGGCCCTGCAAGGTGAGCTCTGGTGCCGGTCATCCGGCTCTTATCATCTGCTGAACCAGTCATGTGGCATTAGGAACTTACATTACCCTACGTTCTCAATCCCATTCCATATTAATCCATCAAATCACTCCTTCACCATCCGGTCAATGAAAGAGCAGAAAAAAATCTGTCATATTTAATCTGATATATTTTGGTAAACTTTCGAAGTGTTGCCTCATTTTTTTTATTTACAGAACCATAACCTAAATTCATGCATAACCTTGATTCGTGGATCACGGTAATTATCATGCTATCTCGTAAATTAAGTCTCGACAGACGTCAAGAAGTGGTACTTTTGATGTACATACAATGCCACGAATCGCTGACAAGATGTTCCGAATCTCTGCATTAAATGTACATACACTAAATCCAATCATTCAGGACTGAGATAAATAGCCCAAGATCACTAATGCCACCAATACCAAATTGTATTTTCACAAAATGTCAAGTGAAAAGATACCGTTAGCACCAACTTTCTCACATCTCGTCGTCTGCTTTCCTAGGTGTCAATACTTACTGCAAAGGGCTGTCGTACATAGTGATATATTGTAACTGACTACGTAATCCACGAAACAAGGTGACGTCACATTTTGTGTGCACACGAATGGATGATGATTGCAAATGGCTTCGGTAAAGGAATTTTTCATTTACGAGTTGAATGTTAGGCATTTTCAATTTGCTGAATCAATGAATACAATAATCAGTGAGTATACAAAATGAAATTGAGCATTTATAATATGATAATTTCGCTGCACTTCCCGTATATCCATGAATCAAGCTTACCTGAGTATACTTCTCGTAAAATGTTCTTCTGTCAGGTTTTCCCATCACACGTAAAATTCTGTGAAAACCTTGGGTGTTTTGACGCGATGAAATTCTTGCCACTAATATTGGTCTGTTGATCAGTGTATTATTACAACTGTTAAAAACAACAGAATTTTAAAACTTATCCTATCTCACGACTTGCACCTCTCTCTCTCGCTTTTCGACTTTTAGTGGAACGACTGCTGTTATCCTTAATTAGCTTCCCAGGTCCTACACGCCGAAGACCCGGGTTCGAATCCCCACATGGGTACAATGTGTGAAGCCCATTTCTGGTGTCCCCTGCCGTGATGTTGCTGGAATATTGCTAAAAGCGGCGTAAAACCAAACTCAGTCAGTCAGTCCTAGGTCCTAATGAAGCTTGCTGCATGCTCTACTAATTGCCCACGTGACTACCTTGAATGATCATTCTCTTTCTTGGGACATTATTCACCATAACATCACGGGGAAAACAGATAATCAGTCAAGAAAAAGGAAAGTTTGTGCTCAATGCTAGACGAATTATTCGTCCCTCGACCCTCACTCGTGTTGCAGTGACTGTATTGGACAATGTAACTGGAACAAATGATGTGGCAAGTGTAATTCACTAAAAGATGAGGATTTTAAGGCCTACCTTCGTGTTTGCTCCTGGAGAATTGCCAATAGGGACAGGAAATCAACATGATCTAATCCCACTCCCGCCAAGCGTATCAAGTTACAGCGACAGAAAATCGTACCTTCACGTAAGAGAGCGACGTCTGTGGTTCAAGAGGATTTATGGACGCTCATCAGATTCTTACTTATCTGAGGACATTTGGCACCTATTACGTACTCATCAATCACCTCCTTCCATAGCGTCAGATCACTCGCGGGTCGTTGTGATCGATAATTCTTCGTTGCCTGTCCCATCTACACTACCAGGGGACCTTAGATTGGCACTATCATCATCTAGATCATCGGTACATATCCCCTCGACTGTCTCAGTTTGTTTGGACCCTGGCCAACCGCGTTCAACCAGCCAACTGTCCCCCCACAGTTCATTGAACTGGACGGAGCTGACTACAACAGCGTCGTCGGGGGACGGTAATCATGAATCAACACTTCAGGTTTCGTCACAAAATTGCCGATCCAGATTGCCACAACGATCTAGATCAGCTTCACGATCCAGATCACCATAACAAGTCAAATCTAGATCACCGCGCCGATAAAGATCACCGGATCGATCCAGATCACAGTTACGATCCAGAGCACAACTATGATCCACATCACCTGATCAATCCAGATCACCTAACTGATCCAGATCACCAAACAGGTCCAGATCACAACTTCGAATCAGATCACCGGACAGATCCAGATCACCTAGCCAATCCAGATCACATCATCGAAGTAGATCATCGGACCGATCCAGATCACCGAAGGGATCCAGATCACAACTTCGAATCAGATCACCGGACCGATTTAGGTCACCTTACCGATCCAGATCACAACATCGAAGTAGATCGCCAGACCGATCCAGATCACCAAATCAAGCCAGATCGCACCTGCAAACCAGAAAACCTGTTCGATCCAGATCACCTTATAGATCCAGATCACGATCACAGTTTCCAGTTAGTGCATGGAATCCATCCAGATCACTTTACAAATCCAGATCATCTTACCAACCCAGGTCACCTATACGATCTAGATCACCTTACAGAGCCATTGACCAATGGGGATCACAGTACAGATCCACATCTCATGGCCGATCCTATTCAGATGGTCGAACCAGAGCTCCAATCAGAACCAGATCACCAACTAGAACTACAGCGACCCGGACTAGTTCTTCATATCATACCGGATCACCTAGCCATACTAGGGAATCCAGATCACCGGCTTACCACCTACTTCAGTACTTACCACGTCGAGATCTCGATACAGTTCTTCTGACTGATGTTCGGGTGATCATTGCTCTGATACCACTAATAGGCCTACAGTCTCTTACGATGTTCCGTCTACACGCTCTGAGAATCCTTCGACTCACTCTAGGATCATCGCTGAGTCATGGGAACCTGATAACAATCCCACTCCTACAGCGACTCCGGATCTAAATATGATGATCAGGGCCATAACCTCAGCCTGGAACCAAATACAGCCTTCTACTCCAGCCCATCCGGCTTCGGTAGCTCCTGGCTCTTCATCTGGTCCACCTCCTGAGATTGATCCAGTCCAAATAGCCATGCCTGCATCTCCCGCTCACTCTGAGTTATCTACCCCTGGGGGTAGCTTTGCAGCAGTTGAGACACCTCAGGTACTCCTTTGGATTGTTGAGAAGCTCCAACTTCCCTTGAGTACTTTAGCAGATGACCTGGATCACTCTTATACTCTTAGGAACCGGGATTGGTCTACCATCACCGTACCACCTCGACCTTGTATTCTGAAATTATCCAGTACACTAAATGATGGTTTCAAGAGCCTGAAACAAATTAAGGACGGATTCTCTGCTCCCAGATATATTCCTTCAATCTCTCATGTCCACGGCCTAACAAAAATCTCTACGGCTCCAACAGTTGATGAGGATATTGGAACCCTATGTGGCAAACGAGCTGCTTCGCCCTACCTTATTGAGGACTGAGAGTTGGCTCACATGGATTCAGCCGTGAGAAAGACGTTGCCATATATTAGTTGCGTGATTACAGCAAACTCTGGAGCAAACTTACTCTGATCAAGACGCTTACATCCGAGGATGCATGACTTTAGCTCTGGACCAGTTCCAAATTATCCTGGATCATTTGTCTCATTCTTTGGGCTACACTCTTGCTGTTCGCCGACGTGGACCCCTTAACACTTCACGGCTATCAGCTACCTGTTATTGGCAGTCCACCACTGACAGCGCGTCGCTACATATCCTGTGGACCAGCTTCAGACTCTGCAATCCACAATAGGTACGCTATTAGACAAACTCGCAATAGAGCTCCTAGGTCCATCGCTCGTCACTCCAGGATTCTATTCCCCCATCTTCTTGGTTCCAAAGAAAAATTCCAACAAACTCATCTTCAAAATGAAGTTGTTCAATGCTCGATTCCTGCTTCCACCGCCTCACTTCAGGATGGTGTCGATAAACCTTTTACGCACCATCCTGAAGAAGGGAGACTTCCTCATCAGCCTAGATCTTCAGGATGCTTATCTTCACGTTCCAATACATCCAGAACACCAGAAGTACCTTTGCTTCATGTTCAATGGGAATCACTACCAATGGAAAGTCCTACCATTTAGAATTTCCACGGGTCACCTCAGACCCTCAATCTACACGTTTGGCGCATCTTCAGAGGTCTCTCATAGCTAAGGGCTACTCTCACTGAGTAGCCACAGCTATCACTTCAGCGCATCGTACTTCGACCCGTTCCTTGTACGACAACAAGTGGGTGAAGTTTGAAGACTATTGCAAGATTAAGGGAATTGCATCTCCCACTTCCACCTCGGCTCAGGTTGCTGCTGAGTTTCTCCAGCATCTCCGCACTACTAAGAAACTCAAGGGTACTACGTTAGTTACCTACTTAGCCGCCATCAACTCGGTTTTGGCTACCACCACAGGCACGAAGATTTCCACTGTTCCCAAGTTGCAGTGTCTACTACGCTCCTATAGATTCTCTGACCAGTCCAGGAAGTTCAGACCTCCGGCCTGGGATCTGTCTGTCGTCCTTCGTCATATGATTTCTACAGATTGTGAACCTTTAGAAGACAAGGACTTCGAACAAGTGACATTCAAGACATTCTTCCTGGTAGCTTTGGCTACCGCTGCTCGTATATCTGAACTGCATGCTCTTGATGTCAATCGGGTGCGGTTCGATTGGAAGAAGCACGGCAAGGCTTTCCTGGGTCTCCGCTGGGACTTCATTGCGAAAAGACAACTGCCAGGGCAACCGGACCGGGTGTTTATCAATCCCTCTTTGTCCACCATTCTTGGGCCTGATGATAATGAAGATTTGACACTCTGCCCTGTTAGGGCTCTACGCGTTTACCTTGCTGCCTCCAAGGATCGTCAACAGCTATGGAAGCGCCTCTTCATACCCTTGTCGACCGCTTCAAGAACTGACGTTTCCCAGACCACTTTGGCCTTCTGGATGCGTGCCACGATCCTGCGAGCCTACACCTATGCAGGGTTGCCTCCTCCAGCTGCTTCCAGTCCTCATGAGACTCTAGCCTTGATGATGGCCCTCCATAGCAACTGCTCCTTGACCGCTTTCATGGAAGGTTGCTTCTGGCGTTCTGATACAGTTTTCTCTTCACATTACCTGTGAGACCTGTCTGTCACGGATGTCCAGGGACTACACCAGTTCGGACCTCTTGTAATGGCTCAGCAGCTTACATCGGCCCAACAACGCAGATGTTCTCATTATATGGATTTAAGAACTACTTCACTAGCGTGGCCCTCGGAATACGGACCTGAGGCACAATCAGTATGACTATGCAGAGGTGTTCGAGATTCACGCTTACTGACCTCTACTCCAAGGTGCAATTACGTCAGTGAATTGTGACACTCCCGAATTCCAGTGGATTTCTTTGCATTCTGCCTCCAAAGTTGCCGGGCACATCCTTTGACTAAGCTTAGGCAAAGGAGTGAGGGTCAATTTGATGCTGTCCGGAACTGAACGTTAAACCTTGGAGATGCCAAGTTGTGTTTCTCTTTCACCCGCCTCCGTCGGTGTCTGGGGGGCCTTCTTGAAGCAGGGGCTGGCCCGATTCTAGTTGCAAGACTTTAATTACAGGGGTACCTAGTAAATCCTGGCGAGGCGAAGGCGAGGCGAGGCCTACTTGCCGAGTTGCGTCCCTTGTCTTGTACAAGGTTGCGGCCGAACACCACATCTCTCGGGAGCACCAATCTGCCTGGGAGTCGTTGTGCTTAGTAAACCAAGGGGTTCCGGAGAACCCACTACAAGCATAGGAGTTGCGTGCATGCGTAACAGGCCTCCCTTGTACATCGCTATCTATGGTTGTCATCAGTCCACACAGCTCCAAGACCAGCTGTTCGCACTGTCCAGACAGAAGGGTAATCTGCGGCCCGCCATCCAACCGTGGGATAAGTGCAAGTCGTGATATAGGATAAGTTCAAAAATTTGGAAATTTTAATATAAATTGTATATTTATATACTTATCCTATCTCACACGATGGATGCCCGCCCGGCCTCCCCACTACTCAGATTATAATGTTGGCTCCAAGATGAGAATGATCATTCAAGGTAGTCAAGTGGGCAATTAGTGGAGCATGCAGCAAGCTTCATTAGGACCTAGGAAGCTAATTAAGGAGAGCAGCATGGAGTGCACGTGCGAATGGACAAGGAGGCCTATGGAAAAAGGTTTACAGTTGTTCCACTAAAGGTTGAAGCGAGAGAGAGAGGTGCAAGTCGTGAGATAGGATAAGTATGTAAATATACAATTTATATTAAAATTTCCAAATTCACTGAACTATCACTAGACAATACATAACATTCATTCTTTGAAAACAAATTTAGCTTTTGCCCTATGGTAATGTTTTGACAATGTTCATCATCAATCTGCACCTGGCAGTTTTTGCAAAACAACAATAACTTTCATCAAAAAAAGGATGAACCTCCATTTGATTTAGAAATATAAGGTGTGTGTTCTTTGCGTGTTGACATGTAATTGATTGTCAGCACTTGATAACTTGTCATCTACAGAATGCTATAAGGAAACTGTCTTTAAGTTCACTCTCCACTATTACATCAGGTCATTTGATGATAACACAGTTGTTTCCAGAACATGACTGCTTTTGTTTTCTATCATTTTGGGGCAATCAATGATAACTGTAACCTTTCTTTACTTCAGGTTTCTTATTTTGATATACTTTATAAATCACTTAATCCCATATGGACACTTGTATTGCCAGATTGACATGTGCCAGTATGTGTTTGGTGTGAGGGAGCACCTGCTGCATCATCTACTCACTGACCATGTTCTGCCCAACAACAAGCTGGCTCGCTGTATGTGGAAGGACTGCACTGACTGGCTAACACAGCAGAGAGATGATAGGGTGAGCTTCTGTCATTGAAATGTTTGGGAACTCTGTACCTTCCGTGTGGGATATGACCCATGAAGGTACGGGTTAGAATGTACCTTCAGTAACCCATTCTTGTCGTTAAAGGCGACTAATGGGATCAGGTGGTGAGGATAGCTGACTTGGTTGACACATGTATTCGGTTCCCAATTGCGCAGATCGATGCTCATGTTGTTGATCACTGGATTGTCTGGTCCAGACTTGATTTTTACAGACCGCCGCCATATAGCTGGAATATTGCTGAGTGCGGCGTAAAACTAAACTCACTCACTCACTGTGTGGGATATGGGGTGGCAGGGTAGCCTAGTGGTTAAAGCCTTCGCTCACCATGCCAAAGACCCGGGTTCGATTCCCCACATGGATACAGTGTGTGGAGCCCATTTGTGGTGTCCTACACTGTGATATTGCTGGAATATTGATACAAGCAGCATAAAACCTAATATGCTGGTTGTGACTGCTTACATTTTGGACAAGGTGATTGCAATGGTTGAATGTGTTAATGAACACCAAGAAAAGGACATTGTAGTTTATTCTTACTGCCATTAGAGCGTTACATATCCAGTACAGCTGCAACACTACATTGAACTGTATTCCCTCATTCTGTCTGGTCAAGATTAGATTGTGTATAGCTTCTGCAAGCAAATATTTGACCTTAATGTAACTGACTGACTCATGGGGTTGCAGGAATGGGAGCTGTCAGTCACATTTTGTATTCAGAGTATAATTCCTACCAGTCAGTTAAGCAGCACATTAATCAGTATTTGTTTTTTATTACCCATGTGGTCAACGTATGGGTAGGTGCATAATAATCTCGTATGTCACACGAGTGTCGTATCGCATTGACCTGTACCGTAACGACTCAACCTAAGATTCTAACAATTTGATTGGATAACCAATGACCTCTCAGTTGTGACGGGACTACTTTCTCATTCATTACAAACACGGGAATTCATTCATTCTACAACTTTTACTACGTCAATTAAGTTACACGCTTTACTTTATAGTAGTTCAGGGCAACAGTATACTTTATTACACCTAAATTACAATCCTCGCTCACTGACGCGCTGTTTTATTGACGTGTCTGCCCCCCTACGTTAAGATGCACGTTATCAGAAAAACAGTTTGATGACGGTTTACATTCGGATTAAAAATCTTCTCTAAATTATTTTATAATTACATCTGTGATTAACGTAGAGCAATTGAGGCAATATGAACGTCGCATTTCTACTACCAATGTAAGTTTAGATCAGTACATCCAGATGAACCTGACTAGTCACGCCACATTCCATGGATGCATTGTGGGAATGTAAACTTTGCGAATGTTGCCGTATAGCTGTTTAATTGTAAGTCGAACTGAGACATTTTATCCATCGAAAACCATAAACGTAATGTTTCCGCCAGTGATGTTAGCCGAGTGAAGCAACTGCAAACCAAGAAACGGGGTGCTTCGGAGTAGTTATAAATGTAAGAGGCTGTACGAGGCGATGACAACTGACATGCATCGTGGCGTCGACTACCAAGGGTACCTTTGATAACGAGGTGGCAGACGAGAATGGCGTTGTGACGTCAATACAGTGTGACGTCATGCAAAATTCTTCTGCAACCTCTTTATGAAACCAGTTTCAGTTTGAAAGCATAAAAACAACAAAAATATGCTTTTTTGTCAATTTTATGCAGGTAAGACGTGGGTAATAAATAAAATACTACACTCAGTCTCATTACATACGAATTATATGAAACGATTGTCCTTCCTATGGTATCTGACCGAGCGTCATTGACTCTTTAACACAAGTCCCAGACATCAACATACAGTCACATTGGCAGTGTGCGAAATAAGCACTGGCCCTCAAGCCCATGGCTAGTAAAAAAATCCAATCAGGCCAGTAAATCTCCACTGTAAAGCTCAACTGGCTAGCAATATTTAGAAACAGTTTCGCACACTGCACTTTAGTCATTTTCTTTTTTTCAAAAGAGATCCTCCTTGGGATACTATAAGCATTAAAATGTCCATTTTGAAATCCTACGATATTTGTAACTATATTTTTCAATAAAATATTTACAAAACAAAAAAATCGTTTTTGTCTTGTTCAGCCACCCCTACAGGTACCCTGGGGGCCCCAACAGCAAGGAGCAGGTAACTCTTATCGTAAACTTGCGTTCATGCTGTCGCTCTTGCTGGAAAGACGTGTGCGTGTGTTCAGCGGATTTAATTTCCTTGTGTGTGACTATGAGTGACAAAGAGGCAAATACTGTTTGTATGGTACTTTTCTTATCACACGGGCGATAGGCAGAATTGTACGTTGCTTTTTTCATTAATCATATGTTGTAACTTGACTGCCTGTCCGCTCGTTCTCAAGCCATGTGGCTTGCAAGATGGTGGCTTTTGCGGTGTTCAAATTTTTTCAGTAGCTTTTTTGGCATTTCCATGGCAACAAGTTTGACTTAGCCTGAAATTAGTGGTAGTGCTCTTTTCCGGAGCAGAACTCTAAAACCGTTCGCTATTTCTTCACCAAACATGGCACATAGATAGATCTGGTGGTGTACTGGTTCCTTTTTTGGTAGTTTTGGAATTCTGAATAAAATATTGTGGGCATTTCCATGGCAACAAGTTTGACATAGACTGAAATTGGTGATTGTGCTCCTTTCTGGAGCAGAACTTCAAAAACCTTTCAAAACTCTCTTTCCACTTTTCTAGATACACACCTAAATATTTGACATAATCATAACTCGCAGACATAATCATGAAGAGTATTTTGCCATTGCAGGGGATATTGATGACTTTGTCTTCTTGTTTATATTTCAGTGAAATACTGGTAAGCCATGTTTATTTTAATGTTTATTATGGACGGACGGAGCATCGACTATATATATGTCTGTCCGTCCGTAATCATTTTGTTTCCAAAGCATATAACTCAAAAACCGTTCAATATTTTTCAGCAAAAATTGGTAGATATATCAAAACTGAACGTAAGGTGGTGCCTTTTGCTATTTACAGATTTTTTACATTTATATTTTTCCCGGTTTCCATGGAAACGATTCAGACTTAGTCTCAAAAGGGAGGGTTGGGCTTCATTTCGAAAACCGTTCAGTATCTTTCAACAGAACTTGGCAGATATATGAAACTGATCTTGAAGTGGTGCCTTTTGCTATTTACAGATTTTTGTCATTTTTATTTTCCCGGTTCCGTGGAAACGATTTGGACTTAGTCTAAAATAATCAAGCTAGACTTTAAGTAACTATCAGATGAGTTGCAGCCTTGCGCAGTCAGTCGATTCAAGCTCCCTCACTCTTTTTGACCCTTTATCTCTCTCCTTAACTCCCTCGGTTCCCGCCTCCATTTTGGCTCTTGAGGATAGGGACGAGGAGTCAATGGAGGATGATGAGGGTAGGGAGGCGCCAGGGGAAGTATCTTTCTCGCTTGGTTCCTCCCTGCGGCAGGTGCGAGATCGCATCCCAGCTGTTCTGCCGCAGGTGGTTTCCTCTCAGACTTCAGGCTTCCAGGGGAAGCATTCGCTCCAAGCTGAGTCCCCGAGACTCACCTTCGATTATTACCCTCCCTTATTAGCGAGGTTATTAACCCTCTCCTTTTGGGTATGCGATCCCCGGGAACCGGCGCTACCTGTTGGGGTAAGGAGGGGTTGTTGGACAATTGTATTTATTCTTCCATCACACTGGGTGGTTCTTCTGGCACTACCCTGGCCTCGGCCAGGCAAGGCAGGCGCCTGCCTCCCTTTGCTTCCAATAGTCAAGCTCTTAAGGCCGCTTACCAAACGGTCGAGGAACAGTTACATAATGCGGGCCAGCAGCTCCGTGTAGTTATACACTTGGCATACTTGTCTGCTCTCCAAAGGCAGCTCGTTGACATTGTACAGGGCGGGGATGACGTCTCATCCCAAGTACGGGCACGGCAACTTACGGAGGTGCACTCCCATCTGGTGCACGTTTGTGGCTTTCTGTAGCCCGGTATTCCCCGACACAACAAGCTGTACTGGCATTGCCGTTCAGTGTTGCCACCGGCACCTGGACGACTGGTTACTCCGGGTGCTTGCCACTCACTTGAGTCGAGATGTAACATTTTCAGTGATAAGTATTCTCACCAAGTTGGGTTGGATTATCAATCTCAAGAACTCAGAGCTTGTTCCAACACAGGATCTGGTCTTTCTGGGAGCGAGGTTTGAGACAAGGTGAGGCATGGTCTCCCTGTCTCCTCCAGTCCCATCGGACATGGCTTCGGTTGCTAAGCAACATGGCGGCGACAGTGGACGTAGTTTGGCATGCGTGGTTGAGGAAGCTACCGATACAGCAAGCTTTAGCTGAGAAGTGGTCCCATTCAGAGAATTACGTGAGGACTCCAGAGTGGTTGATTCCTCATTCCTCTTAGGCGACCTCACATTGTCGGGCCTTTGGTCGGAAAATGAGGTGAGCCTGCACATCAATGTGTTAGAATTGAGAGCAGTCCAGATGGTGTTCAAACGCCTCGTGGTACAGGTTCGAAGCTGGTTGGTTCGTCTAGAAATGGACAGCCAGATGGCAATGACCTACATCCTGAAGCATGGCGGTACGGTGTCACCGACTCTCCTTCAGGAGGCGAGGCATGGCAGTTTCTACTGTGGTGCGACCAGTTCAACATTTGGCTGATGCCTGTTTATCACACGGGGGGTAGACAACGTTCGTGCAGATGCACTCTCCTGGCATATACTAGTCCCCCACTAGTGGATGCTTAATTGGGGGATATTCAGGATTATCTTCCAGTTGTTCGGGTCATTCCAGGTGGATCTGGTTGCCTCTGGAGTGGTGAATCAGATACCAGTGTTTTGCTCAGGAAGGTGGGGCCTTCCCACCTGTACCCCTGACACCCAAGGTTCTCTCGCAGCTAACCACCCAACCAGCGTGACTACGTGTGCTTCTTGCACCTCTTTGGTCGGCTCAACACTGATTTCCGGTAATTCTCAGGTTTCTGGCTCAGCCTCCTGTACTATTACCCTTTCGACCGCACCAGCTATCCCAGAACGGAGCGCTGCACCCGAATCCCAGGATTCAGTGGGTGGCATGGCCACTGTCAGGAATTGCCTCCAAGCGAGTGGAATATCTGCATCAGACACAATTCTGCCTTTGCGGAGGGATGGGACAAACGTTCAATATGAGGATAGATGGACCTGTTATGCGTGCTGGTGTGGAAACAGAGTGATTCTTGATCCCTTTTCTTCGAATCTAGTCGAAGTACTGGAGCTTTTACAGTCTCGGTTGGAGGCCGGTCTAGCCGCGTATACTATCCGAGGCTACTCCACCCACAGCAATCTCTGCCTTCCACATACCCGCCAGATGTCCTCTTAGGACAACACCCTATGGTGCAGTGCTTTTTTGCAGATGTGGACAGAATCTGTCCGACTGTCCGGCGGATTGGTCCCCGGTTGGACTTGTCCATCGTTCTTGTTTGGATGTCAGGTCCTCCCTTTTACAATCTTTCGTCTCTTTCACTCCAGCTGTTAAGTTGGAAGGCAGCCTTTCTTTTGGCGGTAACGTCTGGCAGGAGGGTTGGCGACATTCATGCAATGTCAGCGGATCCTGAACTCACCGTCTTTCTTAAAGACAGGGTTAGTATTTGCTTGCCAGACTCTTATCGTCTTAAGATTGCAGGTTCCTTTCATGTAACGGCGTGTAAAATCATGTTTTCTGATGTGTTCTCAGCCTATCGGGCTAATATGCTTGACAGCTGTTGTCCCACCCCTAGTCACAGCCCCCGCCTGATTTACAGCGGCAGTCAGGTGTCAGGGTAAGTGTGTTTTCTCTCTCTCCGTCGATTGGGAAATTAGCGTGTGGTTTAGTGTGCCAGACAGAATACCACTCCCAACTCTCTGTCTATGGGAGTCTTATGCTTATAAGTACCCCAAAGAGGATATCTTTTGAAAAAAGAATCGAACAAACCTGCAGAGATTTCTGATTCTTTGAGAAGAGTCCTCCTTGGGGTTGGGCGCCCACCTCCCCTCATTTTGTGTGATTACGTTCAGCATGAAAAGTGAGGTACAAGGTTTATGCTTAGAGTTACCTGCTCTTGGTTGTTGGTGCCCCCAGGGGCCCTGTAGGGGTGGCTGAACAAGATAAAAATGATTTTTTTGTTTTGTAAATATTTTATTGAAAAATATAGTTACAACTGTCATATAAGCATTAAAATGCCCATTTTAAAATCCTAAGTACCGGTACCCCAAGGAGGACTCTTTTCAAAGAATCAGAATCCTCTGCAGGTTTGTTTGAATTTTTCTGAAGCAAAGCAGATTTGTTTTTGTAACTGACTGTTTACATTTCTGTTTCAGTCTCTTGAATCTCACATGAGAAAACATTTGGACAGTCTCAGTGGGCTGACTGCTTGAATGTGATCTTCCATAGTTCATCTCCTGGGCTGAGTACACTGAAGATGAGTTGAAGATGATTTAAAATGCATGTCGTTATACTCAGGAACAAAAAGTACTGTCACCTTCCAACTGAAGTTTAGACAAGACATTCCTCACTGGGAAAACTCAACAGATATCGTACAGATTGGAGGTTTCAACTTGGAATATGGGTACATTGTACCGTCTTATTCAGTTACAGAAGCTTAAATATCAAGTACCTACTCCCAGTCATTAGAAATGTTTTAGATGTTATACATAATATTAATATCCCCAAATACATCATATTTAGAACAATTTTGTTTGTCCACTGCTGTGGGACATTTCAGGACTTTCAAGTGTATGTTAGACCACTGTAGTTGCAACCCTATCTAAAAGCTCCTGTGATATCAAATATTGAAGTTCCCTTATGAACTGCTTTGACCAAGATATCTCTTGTGATTTGACAAACATCTGTACATTCATTGTGTTCATATAGCTTATCGGTGCATGATATGTCTTATAATTGTTTGTGTAATTCTTATGATAAACCCTTTAGAACTTCTTCTAATGAACTTGCAAATGATATGAAACTCATTTTGATATTATTGTCAGCGACCAGAAAGATTTTGTATGCTCAGATTCTGTGAATGTTCCATTCACCTGATGTGAAGTCAGCTTATGCCAAGGCCTGCCTGTCCAGCAGGGTCTGTAAACTACCTACAAATCTTGATATCTTCAATATGGTTGCCACAGCAGCTATATTGAAAACAAATGTATTGCCAAAATGCATACTTGTTACCATATATTAACTGATGCTTAGTTGACAGTACATGACAGTGAGTGAAACTGCCAGAGTTTATATTCTTTCATTTGAAAAAGTTGTCACGACTCTTCATTGTCTGTAAAGTCAAAGGGATTCCAAGGTTAAGGCTCATGTAAAATACTGATGAAGCTGAAATGACCGTTATGGTACTCCATAAAGATCTTCATGACCAGTGATTCACAGATAGATGCCTCAAATGTTGTGGTTATGTAGAATCAAAGTAGAGACTGAAACATCCTTTCTTGACCTGTTGTCCAGGTTGGGTACTGCATTATATACAAAGATCACTGCTGTTATTTAATCCGTCAGTATTTCAGATGGTTTGTTATTTTTTGTGTCTCATAGTTCAGTGGGTTGTTTCTTTGCATTTATAATTTGACATTTCTAGACGGAGATGTATTTTCACTGTGATAGTTTTATGTAGAAGTAGTGCTACTATTGTGTTCATGTCAGTATTTTATCTGAGTAAGCATTTTGCAAACTTTGACAATCAAATATAGGTATTTTTCAGTATCACTGCAGTTTTCATTTGTAACAAGAGTTCCCATTTCTGTTTATTAAATAAAAGAACATTCCATCTCAAAATACCATTTAACCTAAAATAACCGCCAACAGCAAATATCATGTGCCTCATAGTCCAGGTATTTATTGGCAAAGTGTTCTAATACTGCCTTGAACTCGACATATCTCACATTATACCGTTTATAATCAACTGACACCTTACCTTCCCTCCTCCACCTTTGTCCAGGAGTGCTGCACTAATCAGTTGGAATGATAATTTGTGTATATTAGTTTTATTACAATAATAGGACTTGTCCTGTTTTGTAACTGAATATTTACAGTTTGATATATACTGTTGTGTGTTTTATGCTCAGAAAAAAGTAAGGTGGAATAACACATCAATATGAACAAAATAGCTCCTGTTGTATCTATGGATGTACATAAACTTGTAAATATGGCAATAAAATATAGTACACATATGTTTTGTGATTATTTTTATCCCCCGGCATGAAATGGGGGATATAGTCGTCGCCTCGTCTGCCTGTCCGTCCGTAATCATTATGTTTCCGAAGCATAACTCAAAAACCATTCAATATTTTTCAGCAAAAATTGGTAGATATATCAAAGAGAACCTAAAGTGGTGCCTTTTGCTATTTACAGATTTTGGTCATTTTTATTTTTCCCGGTTTCCATGGAAATGATTTGGACTTAACTCTAAAACTTCTTAATATCTTTCAGCAAATCTTGGCAGACATGTGGGACAGATCTTGAAGTGGTGCCTTTTGCTATTTACAGATTTTTGTCATTTTTATCCCACCAGCATGTAATATCTTTCAATATCTTTCTTCAAGACTTGGTAGATATATCAAACTTAAGCTAAAGTGGTGCCTTTTGCTGTTTACAGTTTTGTGGCATTTTTATTTTTATTGGTTTCCATGGAAATGTTTCGGACTTAGTCTCAAAAGGGATGGGTGGGCTTCATTTCCGGAGCACAACTCAAAAACTTCTTAATATCTGTCAGCAAAACTTGGCAGATATGTGAGGCAGATCCCAAAGTGGTGAGTTTTGCTATTTGCAGATTTTTGGCATTGTTATTTTTCCCGGTTTCCATGGAAACAATTCGGAGGGATGTGCTTCGTTTCCAGAGCACAACTCAAAAAATGTTCAATATCGTTCCCATGGCAACAAGTTCTACTTAGACTGAAATTGGTGGTTGTGCTCTTTTCTGGAGCAGAACTCTAAAACCGTTCACTATTTCTTCACCAAACTTGGCACATAGATTGGTCTGGCGGTGTACTGGTGCCTTTTGGTAGTTTTGGAATTTTGAATAAAATATTTTGGGCATTTCCATGGCAACAAGTTTGACTAAAACTGAAATTGGTGATAGTGCTCTTTTCCGGAGCAGAACTCTAAAACTGTTCAATGTTTCTTCACCAAACTTGGCACATACATAGATCTGGTGGTGTACTGGTGCCTTTTTGGTAGTTTTGGATTTCTGAATAAAATATTTTTGGCATTTCCATGGCAACAAGTTTGACATAGACTGAAATTGGTGATAGTGCTCCTTTCTGGAGCAGAACTTTAAAAACCTTTCAATACTCTCCTTCCACTTTTCTATATACAGACCTAAATATTTGGCATAATCATAACTCGTAGACATAATCATGAAGAGTATTTTGCCATTGCGGGGGATATTGATGACTTTGTCTTTTTGTTTATATTTTTTTACATCAGTGTTGGAAGTATGCACTCAAGAATCATACAGGCAGACCACTTACAATACAAAATGCACTCCACAAACACATTGTAAACCAAAGTCACTGTGTTCTTTAATCTGATTGGTTGAAAAACGTGATCAAATGGTATTTGATTCCCGGAAATTCTTTTCGTATTAATACATACAAACATCGCTCACACCATTGTATTGTTATGTCGTCAGCTGTGATGACGTCATTAAAATCATATTGTGACGTAAAGTCCGAATGACGTCACAAATGAGCAGTTCCAGATGCTACCATGGGAGACAGCCGAAACGGCCGGCTGATGACATTTCACTGATGTACCCGTACTTGATGTCAATTAGAGCAGACACAAAAAATGTGTGTGGACCTTTCGGTTTACTTTTGTGTTTACAATGTCGATAAACATCATGTGTTGGCGAATTTCCGGGTGTTATTGAGTATTTGAAGCACGGGAATATTTCATTTGAAACCTCCGGCTGACGCCGTCTGTTCGAAATGAATTCCTGTGCTTCAAATACTCAATAACACCCGGAAATTCGCCAACACATGATGTTTATCTCCTAATTGAAAAATGTTCACAAAATTCCAATGTGTGTAGACTCTTCTGCAATTAGAAATTTCAGTGGTTGCTTACTTCAAATGTAACGCTCACTTCTCTCAGTTGTCAAATGTGTCACTCTTTTCTCTCAATTGTCAAATGTGTCACTTCTCGCAGTTGTCAAATGCATATTTCACTCCTCTGGGTTGTCAAATGTGTCACTTCTCTCAGTTGTCAAATGTGTCACTCACTCCTCTGGGTTGTCAAATGTGTCACTTCTCTCAGTTGTCAAATGTGTCACTTCTCTCAGTTGTCAAATGTGTCACTCACTCCTCTGGGTTGTCAAATGTGTCACTTCTCTCAGTTGTCAAATGTCAAATGTGCTTCACTTTGTCTCTCAAGTTGTCAAATGTGTCACTTCTCTCAGTTGTCAGTTGTCAAATGTGTCACTTCTCTCAGTTGTCAAATGTGTCACTTCTCTCAGTTGTCAAATGTGTCACTCACTCCTCTGGGTTGTCAAATGTGTCACTTCTCTCAGTTGTCAAATGTGTCACTTCTCTCAGTTGTCAAATGTGTCACTTCTCTCACAAATCACTCTCTCAGTTGTCAAATGTGTCACTCTTTTCTCTCAATTGTCAAATGTGTCACTTCACTCTCAGTTGTCAAATGTGTCATTTCACTCCTCTGGGTTGTCAAATGTGTCACTTCTCTCAGTTGTCAAATGTGTCACTCACTCTCTGGTTGTCAAATGTGTCACTTCACTCAGTTGTCAAATGTGTCACTCACTCAGTTGTCAAATGTGTCACTTCTGTCAAATGTGTCACTTCACCAGTTGTCAAATGTACTTTCAGTTGTTGGCGATCTGTAACTTGTCACTCAGTGTGTTGTCAAATGTCAAAATGTTTCAGACTCTCACTAGTTCAAATGTGACACTCAGTTTGTTTTGCTCCATCTGTCGGTTGTCAAATGTGTCACTTCTCCTCAGTTGTCAAAATGGCTGTATTGCTTCACTTCATTAACTCACTCACTCACTCACTCACCTACTCCTCCTGGGTTGTCAAATGTGTCACTTCTCTCTCAGTTGTCAAATGTGTCACTTCCAATTCCTCTCAGTTGTCAAATGTGTCAAATTCTCTTGTCAGCTGTCAAATGTGTCACTTCCTCTCAGTTGTCAAATGTGTCACTTCTCTCAGTTGTCAAATGTGTCCATTCACTTCTCTCAGTTGTCAAATGTGTCACTTCTCTCAGTTGTCAAATGTGTCACTTCACTTCTCTCAGTTGTCCAAATGTGTCACTTCTCTTGGTTGTCAAATGTGTCACTTCTCCTCAGTTGTCAAATGTGTCACTTCACTCTCAGTTGTCAAATGTGTCACTTCTCTCAGTTGTCAAATGTGTCATTCACTTCTCTCAGTTGTCAAATGTGTCACTTCACTTCTCCAGTTGTCAAATGTGTCACTTCACTCAGTTGTCAAATGTGTCACTTCTCTCAGTTGTCAAATGTGTCACTTCACTTCACTTCACTTCTCTCAGTTGTCAAATGTGTCACTTCACTCAGTTGTCAAATGTGTCACTTCACTCACTCCAGTTGTCAAATGTGTCACTCTCTTAGTTGTCTGGGTTGTCAAATGTGTCACTTCTCTCAGTTGTCAAATGTGTCACTTCTCTTAGTTGTCAAATGTGTCACTCACTTCTCTCAGTTGTCAAAATGTGTCACTTCTCCTCTCAGTTGTCAAATGTGTCACTTCTCTTAGTTGTCCAAATGTGTCACTTCACTCAGTTGTCAAATGTGTCACTTCACTCAGTTGTCAAATGTGTCACTTCACTCAGTTTGTCAAATGTGTCACTTCACTCTCAGTTGTCAAATGTGTCACTTCTCTCAGTTGTCAAATGTGTCACTTTCTCTCAGTTGTCAAATGTGTCACTTCACTCAGTTGTCAAATGTCACTTCTCAGTTGTCAAATGCATCATTCACTTCTCTCAGTTGTCAAATGTGTCACTTCTCTTAGTTGTCAAATGTGTCACTCACTCCTCTCAGTTGTCAAATGTGTCACCTCACTTCTCTCAGTTGTCAAATGTGTCACTTCTCTCAGTTGTCAAATGTGTCACTCACTTCTCTCAGTTGTCAAATGTGTCACTTCTCTCAGTTGTCAAATGTGTCAAATGTTCACTCACTTCTCAGTTGTCAAATGTGTCACTCACTTGTCAGTTGTCAAATGTGTCACTCACTCCTCAGTTGTCAAATGTGTCACTTC